CAAAGTTCAAGCTTGAATTTGGTTTAAACTAAATCAAAAGATGAACCGTCACTGTTGACCATTTATACGAAGTTCAACTTGACACAACTTAATTTTTCTCTGCTTTATTGTGTATTACGTTGTATATTTCTTGTTTTGTGATCTGCTGTTATAATAAACCAATGGATATATTTGAGGTAGTTAGTGAGGATGATGAGGAAATTGGCGAATTCCTAAATAATATTCAACTTCGTGTGCACAGGCCACGGGTAAGACCCTAGACCAAACCAATAGATAAATATCTTATGTCGAATGTCGGGACAGTATTATAATATTTAGCCAAGCCAAGAGAGGGCGCGGATTTTATAATTTTTTGACGTTTTGACGTTTTTGTGTATTTGTGTGTTTTTATTGTGTATTGTTTCTAAAGTTTGTATTATAATAATAATTTATAAACGACAAATAAAATTTATGGATTTAACAGTATTCTTCAATTTCAAAAAAATGATCAATAAGAAAGTTACCTTTGGTAGACTATCATAAATAACAAAAACAATATAAAAAACATATGTTTCTTACCATATATGAATGGTACTTTTGGGAATAAGTTTGATAATGGTTTTACAAATTAAAAAAATCACCCATTTTACAAATGAATACTAAACAGAGCTGGACACGAGTACAAAAAAAAGTATTCGTAAAATTACGAGTACGAGTACTTAAAATATTTACTCGTAAGTACATTTGTAAAGAGAGGTTACGGATACGAGTAGTAATCGTAAAAACACTAGTAAAGAGTACGAGTACTTTTGAAGAAAAAAAGTAAGTTAATATAATTGATTATTCTTTACTCTCTAAAAATGGGTTAGTCAAAAATGACTAATTGTTATAGCGAAAAAGCAGCCACTAATAATTCTTGTCAATAGCAATTTGTATTTTTAACATTTAGCAGTCAATTTCCATGTAAAATGTTTCCCTGAATCCGAAAATGTCGTCAAGTTAGAAAAGTAGAACAGTTTTTGAGATATAGTCCATTTTCCATATAATATGGAATTTACTATATCTTAAAAACTGCTCCACTTTCATAATTTTTTACGGTATTTTTACTAATTTCCACTAATAACTGTGGTAATTAGACATTTTTGACTAATTCATCTTTAAAGAGTGTACATTATACATACTTGGGTCCTGAGCTATACAAATACAAATTTATAAAATTATTTATTTTAAACATTATGTACATAAAATAATAACAATTCTTAAATAGTTTATAATTTTACCTCTAATAATATATTATATTATACTATATATTATATAATTTAAAACAGACTTTCAAACAAAATGTTTTGATGATTACGATATTTTGGAAAAAAGTAATCCATATATTAAACTAAAATACTCGTATATATTACTCGTGAATTCCACGAGTATTTTTTACGAGTACATTGAATTTGTTTTGTAAGTACGAGTAATAAGTATTTCAAATGAAATATACTTATGAGTAAAAAAGTACTCGTACTTTTTTACTCGTAATTAAAATACGAGTAAAAGTACCAACTCTGATACTAAATACACTTGTTTTGCATTTACAAACATTTGTTTTCCTCATTGGTTTTCCATAAATCTGCGAATTTCTTTAGTTTATAAAAGTTGCTTGAGAATTACTAAACAGCATAACCACAGAAGTACCTTAAATACATGGTAGAAAAAAAAGATATTGTTTTCGTTACTAATTACATTTAAAATCTAGCCACAAGTTAGATTTTAAATATAGCGCCATTGAAGTAACCAATCAAATACGTTGATTTTCCACCAATTTAAAGCTATGTTGGCAACAGTTGCCTGTAAACACGTAATTTAATTTTTAGCCAAGTTCAGAGAGGGCGCTTCATTTGGCTCCAAACTATATACTCTTTAAGTTAGTCATCTATTGGTTTGGTTTAGGGGTAAGACCGAATCATTTTGAATGGTGGAATAATGATGAATTTTTTGCCAGATTTCGGTTTTCCAAACCTTTTGTACGTAGGATAGTGGATTTAATTAGACCAGTTATTGCAAATCCGACCAATAGGTTAGTTATAAAAATAATTACTGAATAGGTAATAGATTTTAGTAAAATTCATCACATGTAGGAAAATACGACAAATTCATTTTATACTATAAAACGAAATACATACAAATAATTTCTCCTTAAAAGAGGTAAAGTTGGCAGCACGATTTTTATTCATAATAAATAATAATTATTGTTCTTTAACAATAGTTAATTGCTTTAAAGCACCCTTTCGCACAGATTAGAATTTTTAAAACAGCACAGATAAACAAAACTCCAAAAGTAAACACAAAATCCTTTTGTCAAAATGACAGTTTTAACTACTATTCATGTAGGCGTATACTAAATTCGGTTGTACCAACTTAACGTTGACACCGCTGATCTAAGTTCAAAAGAACTGCTGACTCAGCAGTGCTGAGTCGACATTGAAAAACTCATTTGACTGTAAACTGAGTTCATAAAATGATCTAAGTTCCCCTGAACTGAAACCCTAATTGAAAAACCGACCCTAAGAGAGTCGGTTAATTGGATAAAAATGTGGATAAATGTGTGAAACTTATTATTTAAATTTATTTTTAATTTATTTATTTAATTTTAAATAATAGCGATTTTTGGGATTAAAGGATTTTTATTTTTTTTCAAATATTTTAAGAACCGCCAGATTTTGTTTCCAATTTAAAAAAAATTTCTTTAATTGGACCGACTTGTATCCCTTTAAAAGAATAGTATAATTATATAGTATAATAGTATAATAGAATAATTCACATAGAAGCATACTTGGTGTACCCTGTATAATATGTATAATATAATATAAAGCATTACTAAGAATGCCCAAAACCGTCAACAAAAATGCAATCAGCTCCAACGTGAACATCGGAACGGAAAAATTAAAATTCCGGAAATTAATTTCTTGTGACAGTTTAATTTAAAAAAATGCATTAAAAAGGAAAAAGTCTACATTCCTGGACGACTGTGAAGATTGCTACACAGAGTCCAGGAATGTGGCTTTTCCTACGAGGTAAACATACTATTTTTTTGCAAATCGTTTAAAATTCGATAGATATTAATTAATTTTAAAAAAATCGCGAATTATTTTGAAATTCGTAATAAAATTAGTTGCGTTACTATGGAAACGTATTATGGTTGAATTGTCAAACTTGACGCATATAAATTTAATTGCTGGTGTTTTCGAAAGCAAAACAGTGTAAAATGATAAGTGATGATGAATTTTCCATTCCTGGGACTCCCCCAGAGCTGGTTGAGGCAATGCATACTGCTTCATTAGAATTATTGCCAAAGAAATCAAGAGAAACGTACGAATATGCATATACACGTTTTATGGACTATCGCAAGAGTAAAAACATGAGTTCTTTCTCGGAAAATGTTGTAATGGCATACTTCCTAGACCTTGGTTAGATGAAATCTTCAACATTATGGGCCAATTAGGTATTCAATGTTGAAGTCAACCCTTGCAATTAAACACAGCTTAATAATGATGCTTAATAATGAGTTAATTTTTATAGAAAAGGTTTACCAGAAAATTCCATATTGTAGAGGTCCCTCTATGCTTAGAAATTATAAAAAATGTACCAATGTTACTTGTTTGGCGTGAAATGCACAGATCATAAAACTTGGTGAAATGCGCCATGTTTTTAAAAAATTTCCTTTGCTGATATTTTTTTACCAAACTTTAACAAAATACTTTTTTTTATCATATTACAAGTACCTACCTATTTAATCTTCAGTTTTTTTTCATTATTTAAGTTGATGATATAGTAGATGATAGATAATATAAATATAGTAGATGATATAATATTAATACATATTTCAGATTTTAATAGGAAAAATTTAATACTAAAAGATTTTGCATAAATATATTCGTATACGAACTTGTATGCTTAAAAGCTTTGTTTCAAGATAAATTAAAAAAGTATGGCCACGCCACTGCTTTTTTATGAGTTTGATTTTATATTAATATCAAGAAATTAAAAATAAAACTTGTCTCCTGCATTTATTTTCTATCATGCTTAATTTTCAAGAAAAAAATAAGTTTGTTTGTCTGCTCATGACTATAATTTTTCCAGGGACGAGCGAATAAACGAATTTTATATTTTCTTGAAAATTAAACAAGATAGAGAAAAAATGCAGGAGACAAAAGAGTTATATTTTTAATTGCTTAATCTAAAAATAATTTTTAATTCAGTACCGTACTCAAACTTTAATTTAATTAAATGAAGCATTTTGCCCATCACTAAAAACCTGAAAAGGTGTATAAAATTTGGAGAGAAATTTTAAGTAACTTTACTCCCCTTTTTTTAAAACGAAGCTTTAAAACATACAACAAATCTGAGACATTGTATGTTATAATACAATAATATCTAATCTTTTTAACCAGAGTTTTATAAAATATTCTAAATTTGGCAAATTTAATTTAATTTGCATTGTACAATTTTACTGGGAAATATTTGTTAACTATTAATTTTCTTAATACATGTATTTGTAATGTATTTGTAATGTAATGGATAAATACATACATACAAATTTGTGTTTACTTTTTAATACTTTCTCGTACCACCTTTGGAGTTTAGATTATGAGTGCTTTTAAAAAATTAATTTTACAAACGCAACACAAGATAAATAACAAAAGTTTACAAATTTTATAGTATATAAAAAAGCATGTGCTGCATGCAGTGCACTTTCTGCCGTCAAATGTGTCGAAATTATATTTTTAATCCATAACTAATAAAAAATGTTTATTTCTAGAAATGCCAAGGGCGCTATAAATTAAAGTTTTCATTCAAATTTTAAGCCTTAAATATGGTCTGGTCTATCGCATTTATTTGCATGAGTTGGCCAGTATTTCAAAAAGTTACAAATTTTCCCGTTGATAATACACATACGGTTAGGTAAACGTTATATTTTAACAGTAAGGATGGAATAAAAAAGTAGATAAAATGCGAAATTCGATTTATTATGCCTCTTTAAAGCTCAACTTTACAGTTGCCTGCTCCTCTTCCTCAATGCACAAAATGCCCACGGATATCCCATACATTCGCGTTAGAGCTCTCGCGCTGCTTAGTTTTTCTTTCTGAAGAAAATTATTTACACCGTTTTTAAACATATTAATGTGTTAAAATCCTCTTGTTCGCAAAGATAAATACATTTATATTTAATGGCCTTTGTCTTGATTTTATCATCTTCTTTTATTGTTCTCTGATTTTAAAAATGAATTTGTGGATTATTTATTATTTAAATTAGGGAAAACGTTTTAGTAATAATCTATTATTTTATAATTATTGAGTTTTAAGTTTACAATTTTAACCTTTAAATTTTGTATTTATAAATATCCCAGGCGATAGAGGGGTACTTTTAAATACAAAAAATACAATTTTTTTAGAGGTATTTAAGTTTTAAAAAGTAGTCAAGCATGTGTTCTTACTGTGCTAATTATCACTAGAGATGGGATATTTAGGTACTAAAAACTGAAAAATAGTTAACTAAAAAGGTACTAAAAAAGCATTTTAGGTTAAAAAAACAGCATTTTAGGTAAAAAAAAAACATTAAAAGTTCAAGTTTCAACACAGAACATACCCACAATAAACTATTTATATGCAATAAACTGTGTTTCACTAAGTGACACTCACTACACAGAAGTTCTATGACAGAACATAAGCTCACTACAAAGAAGGTATCTGTAAAGAAAGTTACTGTGACCATAAGAAAAAATTCTATACCATTGAGTTGCACGCCCTGGATAAAATATTGGCGCAAAATTTAAAAAGAGCACAAAAAAATAAAATAAGTAAAAATACGTAAAAATAGGTAACAAATAGGTGAAAATAAACTGAGAAATTAAAAAATATGTAACAAAAGTATAAAAAGGTACTTTAAAGCAAAAACCTCCAAAAAAGGTACAAAAGGTGAAAACAAGTTAAAAAATAGGTAACAAAAGTATAAAAAAGGTAGTTTAAAGCAAAAACCTCCAAAAAAGGTAAAAAAGGTGAAAACAAGTTAGGTTCATATAAAAGAAAATCTTTTAAAACACATTTTGGCATTATTGGTTTTCAAATAGTTATAACTATACATCGGCTGAAAAAAGGTAAAATAACTAAAATCCCATCTCTAATTATCACACAACCAAGAAAGGTTGTTTTGGAAATAAAATAAACAATGCATCTAACAGCTATCTGAAGTTAACATGGTTGAATAAGTTATGGGCTTTTAAAGATTGGCGTAATATGAAGTACATATATATATATATATATATATATATATATATGCATTAGTGGTTTTTCGGGATCTGCTCCGTGTTGTCGGTTGTTGGTTCTTAAAAGATCCGTATGTCTGACGACGTTTCGGTACAATCTCATGAACCATCTTCAGGTCTTATCTGCTGGGCTGCTGTTGCTGCTCTGCTGCGAGTTAGACGTGGAGTGAGCTCCGTTGCCGCTGATCGTTGTTTATACACCCTTTTAGCTTTCATAGTCATTAACCGTGACTGCGATTGAACTTGTGTTATGTTCGGCTACATTGATCTCGTTGATCTGCGTGGCGTTTTGGTGGTTGAAAGAGCTGGTTTCCATGCAGTTGGTAGTCTCTGTGTATCGTCTCTTGTGTTGAGGTTACTTGGACGTTTTTCTATTTCAATGGCTTCACGGATGGTACGTTTGGTCCTGTGTTCGATGCTCCGTCTCCGACGCCAAGTCTTTAGACGGTAGATGTCTCCAGATTCACTTGCCGATACATCTCGCCGCTGTCCTGGTCACTTATTTCTTTATAAGTGAACAGTGCCGAGCTTGATGCGTGTCTCCCGTCACCGACTGCCTGACCCTGATGAGACCCAACACGTCAAAACAGGGTGTCTCTCACTATTGGTGGGTATGGTGCATTAGTTATTGGACCATACTATTCGGGAGACGCGCTTCGAGCCCGGTTTGGTGACGAGATGGAAGGCATTTCAGTCTTGCAATATATATATATAAACATATGTATATAGGTATATATATATATATATATATATATACAGGGTGGTCCAGGATTAATCTGAAAAATTTTAATGATCGATAGAGCCTGAAAAAACAATAAAAACAAACCCAAAAACATTTTTCAAAAATGCATACTAACGGAGATATAGTCCTTCAAAATAATTTTTAAACCATCAAACCGATTCTTCTTAAATTTTGTGTAGGTTAAGCTTCCGTCGATAATATAATGAAAATTTCCTACAAAAGGCCAAGTGGCGGAGATTTTGAAAGGGGTTTCCCCTTTTTTACCCTCATATTTTCGACGCCACTGGATTTTATTAGAAAATCATCAGATTTATTTTTATCCTTTTTCAATCTAAAAGCAAAACTTTTATGTTTATTTTTTATCAGATATTTCAGTTTAAAATTTCAAAAACACTGTGTACCCGGAACTTTTGTTATTATTTTAGTAATAAAAAATTATTTTTTTTCTGAACGATTGTATTGGGCCAATAAAAATTTACCAATGAAATAATGGAATAATCGCTTTCAATAGGGTGGTTTTTGGGTTGGTTTGATTTTGTATTATAATACAATTAAATTATTAATTACAGACGTTGATTGTAATCCTCAATCAACGTTACAATAAAACAACCTAAAAATATGACGGGTTCAGTAACAACTGCACGATGACTCCTGGACGCTAGTTTATTTTTAAAATATTTTATAAACTGATAACGTTGCATAATTGTTACCAAGTTACCGATTTAAAATAAAATATGATAAAATTCCGTGTACTCGGTGTTTTTGAAATTTTAAAGTCTCCGAAACCACTAATCTTATGAAAATTTAACACACAAGTTTTGCTTCTAAATTGAATAAGAAATCTGATTATTTTCCAATAAAATCCAGTGGTGTCAAAATATGGGGGTAAAAAGGGGAAACCCCCCAAAATCTCCGCCGCTGGGCCCTTTGTAAGAAATTTTACTTAAACAAAATTTGAGCAGAAGTTATTAAAAAAAAAACGTTTTTTTTGCCTTTGAAGGGCTATTAGTGTGTTAGTGTGTATTTTAAAAAAATGTTTTTGGGTTTGTTTTTATTGTTTTTTCAGGCTCTATCGATCATTAAAATTTTTCAGATTAATCCTGGACCACCCTGTATATATATATATATATATATATATATATTAAGGTGCTTTTTTTTCACGACTATTTTTATTTTTTCGCTCCCAACTCAAAATCTTGTTGAAAATGTTCAAAAAAAAATTTCTGAAAATTTGAGCCTTTAATTTTAACTCAAAGTACTCTACCAAAGCGTATAGATTTCCCATTTAAAATACACGTAAACTTATTATGATTATTTTTTTTTAAATATCTATATCTCAGCTGCATTTTATGCTATTGGATTGTTTCAAAAAGGGATTTACTCGTAATCAAAAGTTCTACAAAAATGCTTTATGTGCCACAGCTGTAATCTGCACCTGTAGGATGGTACGGGTCACTAAATCTTATTTTAGTGAAAAATTCTCATATTTTTGAAGTTATTTCAAAAGTGACTGGATTCTTTGAAAAAATGTAAAGGACAAACTTGTAGAAAATTTAATTTTCTTTAAAAAGTGAATCGCTAAGATTGATATTTGTTGAGATATAAAGCGTTTACATTGACATTTTATGAAATTTTTAGGATTTTCGTACCAAACTTTTTAGAAATGATGATTTTCAATTGTTTATCAGTACAATTTAATGTAATTACGTTTTTCTATAGTCGGGTGATTAGAGAAAAATAAAGAACTAAAACAATCAAGCATAATTATTAATTTTGATAACTACAGGCCGTTTTTTTTCATAATTATCTTTCTACATCATGCTTTTAGATCAAACTATATATTTAAATAAAAATTTTAAAATTAAAAGTAAAAAATTTATATAAGTTTATAAAAACGCTTTTTAAAAATGTTTAGTTTAACACATTTTTTTAAAATATGGAATAATTAAATAAAACGCTTCTAAATAATTAAACAATTCAACTAGGAAATATTATTTTGGCTTTAAAATTAATAAAACAAATTTTTATTTACTATTTATGAGATAAGAATTAAAATCATTTAAATAGCGAAATTGAAACACAAATTCGTGTGGCATTTTAAGCAATTAGAAATTAATTATTATTTTCTATAAAAAATAAAAATTAATTAATTATACAGTAAATTTTAATTAAAATGGAAAATAATAGTATTTGCTAAAGAAGCAACGCTAGTAGCGCCACCACGTGGCCGTTATCATCGTAACCCGAATTCAGCTTTCAATAAGCAGCTGTCAAACGCGTATGTTACAAACGAGTGTTTTTGAGAATAAAGCCGGAAAATGTTAAAAATATCGGAAAAACACCTTAGCACGATTTGTTGTGTTGTTGGGTGTTTTTCGAGAGGAAATCTAGGGTTTCCCAATACACAGTGAAAATCCGGATGAAGAAATAAATTGAAATAAATAAATAAATAAATTAGATACTTTTTAGTAGTGATTTACGGGAAAATTGTAAGTTTAAATTTCAATTTAGTAAAAATCATAAAACAAATAAGTCGTTTAAATTTAAACAGCATTATGCATTATTAAAAGCGTTGATTCAGAAAGTCTCCACTCAACGGTATAATAGCAGGAACCGGTATTATATTATGTATTATAATATGTATTATATAGTATTATAAATTCGTAGATATATTTTGTCTTTTAAAATGCAGTTTTCGGCGTTTTTTTAAAGGACTTGTATGCTTAAATGTATTGTTGACATTTCTTAAATTGTCAACAATGCTATCGAACACCACCAGATGGCGTGCGCGTTGCGAAAACCCGATGCTTCTTAAGCGTTGTAAGACTAGTGGGAAAAAGAGGAGATTACTCGAGCATGGAGTTTGCCGCACGAGCGTAGCGATTGAGGTAACACGCAAGTGGAATATCCTCTTTTGACCAATAGTCGCACACAATATTTTATTCCACTACCAGAAGGAATTTAAAGCCAATTGTATTTGATATCGTCATATTCCTGCCAAAAGTCACTAACTGACATTTTGTAAAAATGTTAACAATTTGTACTTAACTATACCAATTTACCATATCTTTAATATTTA